TTAGGAAATATGATTCTCCACTGCCCTGCACTTTGTGTATTCATCTACATCGGAGTGCAAAATGCTGTCAAATCAGAATCTCTGCTGGGAATATCTTTGTACACCTACTTTGCACAGGTGTAAATAATTACACAAGGTGTTTCCGGAGTGTATCTTTGAGGGACAGGAAATGGACAACATTGACCAACAACCCAGAGACCCAAAATCGAAAGGCGCACTGTTGCCAGGGTTGGGGTGATGAATGATCACAGCAAAGAAATCTGTCGAAACAAGAGGAAATCTGTCTTGTTAGGTTCCTTACAAATAAAAGCTTGCAAGTTTTGCACCTATAATCTCCTCTTCGTATTATTCTTTTACCATTGGTATAGGAAATTGTAGCATGCTTACACTCAAGTCCTCTGACAAAAAATGATACACATGAAAGAACTAAGCCTGAGAGGAAAAAGAAACTCAGATTAAAATATATATGTATTTTTTAAAACCACAAAATCAGTGTTGGTCTGTGTTGTGAAAACTGGAATGATCTTGTTTTTATGCTTCTGTATGCAGAACAGATATAATTTGCTTGGGTAATGTTGGGCTGTTTGCTTGTTTTGTTACTTCAAGCAACTTCTCTTTTTGTTTCGAGCTTCTGAGCAGCTTCTGAGTAGAACCACACCAGGAGCGCTTCCACCAATTTAGGGAGGCTGAGAGCCTGGGTCTCAGCTCTGGGCGCAGATGGAGAAACTGAGGCACAGGAGGGGAAGTAACTTGCCTGTGGTCACCCAGCAGGCCGGGGGCGGAGCTGAGAGTTGATCTCAGGTCTCCTGAACCAATCCATTATTCTGTCCACCAGGCCACACTGCCTGGCAGGAAGGAATGCTGACTGTTACCACTCGGATTGACTGAGCTTTGGCTGTTTCATCTTGTGGAGCTGGACTGTGAGGGACGTGCCCGTACACAGCAAGTCATGCTCTTTAGGAACAGTCCTCAGAGAGAAATTTTGCAGCATACTGACTTCAGTTCATCAGGCTGGAATTGTAGTGACTCGTCAGGCGGAGGAATCTAAAGCCACAGCCAGATGAATGGGAGATGAACACCGATTCAGGATTAGAAAAGTGGTTTAAATATTGTACCCTCTAATGTTCACTGTGTTGCTTTCTTTCTGTTCCCCAGTCTCTCCCATTTACTGGCCCTATTCATGGCGGTCTTCATGACGGATTGATGGTTATCATCAGTGGAACTGTTCTTCCTACATGTGACAGGTGTGTGCTTGTAGGGATACGGCTGCTCCACTCCTGTGCCTAAAATCAACTGTTGAGAATATTGGAGCATGACCAGGAAGAGGTTAGGAGGTTAGCTCTAGTGACTCAGAGGAATTTGTCTGTTGGAAAGTTTCCCCCATTCCCAGAAATACTGATCCAGTTCTAATCTGTTGACAGAGTCGTTCAGATGTGGCTTTGAGAGCGTGCAAGATCAGGCCTGACGTTACAATAATTGATACTATAGGAAATGCACCTTTGAGAGATGTGCTATCGCAACAATAAACAGTTCCAATCTTATAATGTGCCAGTCATGCAGTTATCTCAGAAGGAAGGCCAGTTAAAACACTGGTAATAGGCTCAGTAGCGTTGAAACATGCATTGTAAATATTCAAGTTGTTCGTTTGAGCCCTGATCCTACAAATATTTACTACTG